AAAAAAGGGCATATACACACATTCACTCAAGGCTTTGTTCATTGATGCTTTCAAGTGCTTGAAATGCGTTACCAGAGGGAGGCTTGAGTGCAACAAACAACAAACATAATGTGACATAAACCGAAACAAGAACAGTCTCTTCTGCAAACGGAGGGCTCTGCATCAGACTCCAAAGACTTCACTCTATCTTGCACGGGGGTGTCGCCATTGGAGAGCTTGGTGTTGTAGTGCTCGGCGATGGCCTGTATAACGTACAGTATACCATGCGGGAAGCATCCGACAAGAACTTTGCATAGGTTTGACTCTGACATCATTCACGAATCCCAAAGCTTCAGAAAGTGATAGCCCGGCAGGTCTACAGCACATCAACGTCCTGCACTTTAGCTCACCCAGCCTGAGTCTGCAACCAACCCCGCATTGCTTCCGGGTTTTTGGCAAAGTTTTGGAGAGCCTTAGCAGTCTCAGGGTTCTTCTCCACATAGTCCTTGACTTCAGCCCAGGTCTCATCATCAATGTCGGGCAAGCGAGCAATCTGCATGGTGGTGCCGTCACTGACATTCAGGGTCTCAGTTGCCATTGGAGAGATTGGTTGGTAAAAATGGACTCTGCTTTGGCTACCGAGGACACAAAAAAGGCCTTGAACCGAAAGCACGGGGCAGCGCGATTCGTTTCAATATAGAGCAGCAAGCGTGGGAGACCAAACAATGTGAGATATCACGCCAGCATGCAACCACGCAGGACAATGCTAGGGGCTCCTGGCATCGCTACTAGGAGCAAGGATGCTAGTAATCAATTACAAAGGGTACAGGTCACCCTGGACCCATCTGGATCATTTGTCGGGGCACCACACCACCGCTGCCAAGCGCTCGAAGCGCCCAAGCGCGGCACGCTGCACTTGCGATGCAAAGCCCTCGATCTGCGCAGCGGCGCGGCGGTGGTCTCCAGAGCTGCTGACCTTGGATTCAATCGCCATGCTTGTGGGTGGCTGTGGGTCGTGGAAGAAAATCGGTCTCTCCAAAAAATAAAGTAGGCACTCGTACAGGTACAAGCCCACCTTGACCTTGAAGTTCGGAGATCTGAAATGAATGATTGTGACTGGAACGGCTGAATCGCCCCTTTTGGTATCACCTTATGTAGTACTTACACATACTCACACTGTGTCAAAGGTGTTGGTTTGGCTCCATGTTGCTCAGCTAGTCAAGTCATATGAGTTGTGCCGCTTGCAGCTGAAGAAGCACTGAAAACTAGTAGTGTTCAAGCATGTGCATTCCTGTTGCTATTGCTGCTGCTTTCCATTGCGCATATTCATATTAAGTATGTTTAATTTTGTTGGAATTTGTTGAAGTAATTGAGTATGACACACACAAGCTTCTTTCCATGAACAGCCCTACGCAAACTACGCATGCATTGGACATGTCAAACATGGCCAAACTGGTGCTCGACAGTTACAGCCATTTCCCGTCTAGCCAATCTAGCGATGCTCACAGTCTGACCAAGCAGCTTCACCCTGTCATGACAAGAAGGTTCAAAACAGTCGTTCTAACATGTTGTCGGCTTCATTGTCTAATCATGCTTTGGCTTAGGCTATATAGGTTTGACAGCGCCTGAGGGCTCAAGCACTTCTGCACAAAGCGCTGGGTGTGAAACTAATCACAAGGCTCCCAAAATGTGGGTAATGGTCTGCGAACTAGCAGCTTCAGCTGCGAGAAGCCGACAATACACCTGCAAGCTGCACGCACTGCTCCATGCACATCAAGTTGAGGACCTCTTAGCCTCAAAGCCACTCGAAGCATCTCCCGAGTCCATGTGGCCAGTTGAGCCCAAGCTCTGCCCCGGAAGAGCAACAGGTGAGGATTGAAAGCAAATGCCAACTTGGACTCTTCCAAGCCTGTCCATGGAGCTGACGGGTCGCAGCAAAGATGGTGGAATCTGGCCTCAAGGAAGGTCTCCAAAACCTCTGATGCTGGCTTTGCAGGCAAAACCTCGATCTGCGGATCCAGCATGGATTGAACAGGGAAGGAGTCCACCTCAACACCAACGCTCAAAAGCAGAAGATCGTCTGCGCAAAGGCCCAGCAACATCGGTAGGCTCAAGAAGTTGGCCACACAAGGCCCAGCCTCATGGAGTTGGCCTGCCCCCGTCAATTCAGATTCCAACGCGTCTGCCAAGTCACCCATGAAAAACACAGCTCCAGAAGAAAATTGCAAGGCTGATGTAACCTCCCTACAAGACAGGTGATCCTTGCCGTACCAAACCACTAGTATGGAGTCCATGGAGGAACGGCCACCAAACATCTTGTTTGCCTTTCCCACTGCAGCTGAGACTTGCTTTGAAAGCTGCTCCCGGGATTGACCACGATCCACCACTATGCAAGCACCGCAGCACCTTGGTGGGTCGTAAGTCCGTCGGACTCTTGTAGGGCTCTAAAGCTGGGCGGGTCACATAACAATGTCTGTTTCCTGTAAGGAACTGTTCCTGGTGACCCCGTCATGGATTGCCATGTTGGAGGGGCTTGAACTTAACTTGATGTCCAAACGACACCGATCTGCCACGTCGCCTGGTGCGCAGTGCCGCCTCCGGCGGCGCCGAGGCCATCCTCGCCCACGAGACGCGAGACCCCGCGGACGGGGACTTCTCCGCTCGGACGTCAAGGCTTCGTTGGCGAAGGCGAAAACCGTGCTTAAAGGAACGGAGCTCAAGGGGATGATCTGCAAACCAACAGGCTTGCCTCGACTGCCAGCCACGACATGACATATCATGACTGAATATGAGGGATGTTCTTGGATGTTGACGGTTCCTGAGTCTACAGTAATGAAATAGAGTCGCGTTGATGCAATGTGTTTTGTCTTAAGGGCAGACAAGGAGGTATTATATGTAATATGCAAACTGCCTCAAGCACTTGGCCGGCAAACATTAAAAACTTGACCACAAACTCGCAGTGATGTAAACAGTGGGAATATCAAACGGGCGTCCACTCACCCAGTTGATCCCAGGGGCACATCGGAGTCCAACAGCTGGCATGGTGGGCTGTAGAAAAGGCAATTCCTATCCAAACATCGAAAGGCACACAGCCGCGTGGCAAATGAAGCCTGTAGTTTTGATAGCTGTGCATCAAGTTGCCTTTCAAGTGGAAAAATCACATTAGGCTCTAGGAGTCGTCGGGCTCCAGACCGACTGATGAGATAGGCGAATGTTCCCAAAGGCTCAGCGCCGGTCACCTCTTCCAGTGAAACCGGGTTATGCAACAGGCTTGAGTCTCCCAAGGACAACTGAAGCGCACTCTGACCATGCCAGCCCACATAGCACAGGTGCCAACCACTGGGAAGTTCTTCAAAAACCTGAGCCAAGCGGACATCCAAATCGGGAACCACCCAAAGAAGATCGTCTTCAAGCACCAGCCAGCAGTCTGCATCATCTTCCGTTTCACGCACCATGCTTTCCCACACAGACCGGTGAGACAGTGCACACCCAACTGCTCCGGGTGTCATGTGAAGCCAATCGTAATTCCAGCAAATCCTTGAATCCTTGAGTAGTTCAAAGCGTGGGGAGGCGAAATCGGCGCTATGAGAATTGCTGAGCCATGAAGGCACCAGCCTTTCGCAAGCAAGCTTCCGGCCACACACGGCCGGCCACCATTGAAGTTTTTGGAACACCTCCCTGTGAGGTTCCAAAATGGTCACCACGCGCCTCCGCCGATCCTCTCGAGCAGCCAGCGTCACAACGACGACGCGGGCCAAGGTCCGATCCGTAGGGGACTTGAGGCTTCCACGCATCTGAAAGCCTTTGCATTCTGACCTCAAAGCGTCACTTGGGCTCACCCATGTCAGGGACCCTACTCACTACTCATCAATATGGCATTGCATGGCTGGAAATCGCTGGCAACCTGCTGGTGAGAGAACATTGAGAAGCTCAGCTTCATTTTGGCAACACAACATTTCGCTCAGGACTACCATGTTCATCCATGTTCTACCGCTATGGTCGGGAATCGTGAACGATGCACCCAAAAATCGATTCCTTTGTCTTGAATCACCTTGGGAAACCAAGGGGGACCTGACATTGGCTGACGCAAACGAAAAGTAGCGTGTCTTGAGCCACATCAATTGAACAGTCAATAAGCAAGTTAGCTGGCACTCCTTCATCTAATGCTCAAGCAGCATCCGCCGTAGCGCTTAAAAAGCTCAGAGCAAAACTGCAACCAGTCCTACTGTTTTGGAGATGCTTCTTGGAACTCGTCACCAAGGCCGAATCTGCATTGCTCGGGGCGTGAGCAAGGCGAATTGAGCAAGATGAGGAGTGATCGCTCGCGTCAAGAGTGCAACAAATCCCCAACCAACCCGCATAATTACCCGGCATGCCCTCGTGCTCGCAGTCTGACGAAGGCGCCCAGCACTCCCGGTGCTCTGCCAGTTGCAGCCGCGCAGGTGCTCTGCCTTCGGCCAGGTTGTGCAGTAGCTGCTCGAAGAGCGGCAAGTCGCGCTCAGGAACCTGGTGTAAAATCTTGGAGCCAAGGATAACCAGTCGTGGACATAAGTGACAAGTGATGAAGCAAGTAGGCAAGTAGGAACTAATGATGAGGACATCATGAGATCCTTACAAAGGTGCTCCAGGTGTTCCTATCATTCACTCGAAAAGCTCCAAGTCGTGGGTCATGGGCATTGGCATTTAAACGTTTGGCCTTCGTCACACAGTTTCTGTTTACTATCTGGTACGCTTTTAGAAGAACTGTCACAAAGGGTTGCCCCAACTCCTAACAGTTCCAACATGTTGGTGATGCTAAACTCTCACAAACAGGTGGAGTGAGATCTGATGGTGGTTGAGTCAGGTGTCACAGGCCCCCACCCCTTGACCATGGTACTGTGGTAGCGACAGTTCGATGGCAGCAGCTCCAGCAGCTCTCACAGGCCTCGACCACTCCAGGTGGTGTTGGCTCATTTGCCACATTCACCACCACCTGTCAGGCAACGCCGCTTGGCAAGCCAATCCACATACAGTAAGTCCGAACATTGCTCAACTGACCCTCTATCATCCTTGATCTACCTGCAGGTTGGTATTTGTGGTTGTGACAGCTAAAGCACTTATCAGTCCCTGTGGGTTGGTCGCTCCGATCCACTTCCTTCATTCAGAAGTGGTCAATGGAGTGTTTCTTCCCTGAGTTGCTAGCCGGACATCCATTCCCATTGGATTCGCCTGCAAGTCGGAGACAAACTGAAAGAGCTGCTGAAGATCCTGCAAGTCCTGGATCAAACGGTGTTGCGAGGAAACGGGGCTGCAAAAACCAGGCTTGAGAAACCCTGCTTGACAACCGATATCAACCGATCAAACATTTCACCACCGTTTGATTTGCCAATCTTGCCCATGACATGCCTGCAAGTGCTCCTTGACTTGCGACGCTGAGGCAAAACCCAGTATTGAAAGTTGGCTGCACTCATCATCTTCTTCTTCTTCTCCTGGAGCACGGGTGCCGGCAATTACAAGCATGCTTGCGGTCCTTGCACAAATAGGAAAAACAAAAACCAAAAGAAATTGAACCTGAAACGCCTAGCTTTTGAGCCAGTGGGCGCACTTACCACAAGTTTGTCGGCAATCTAAATCTAATCCAAGCCTGTAAGGGAACACTGTAGTGAGTTTGAACACGCAAAGCGATGCAAAAACTGGCCGTTTCATTGGTGGTTCTCCTCTAAGGCCAGCAGCAGTCAGCAGCTTGGAGTGCCGGGAGAGCACGACCAGCGCTTCCAGCCTTCGGCCTTGGCTGTCACAGCACCCCAATACATATATATATATACATATAATATACATAGTATGTTTCATTGACTCAGCCAATGCTAGCACGCAACTTTACATATTGTTATATTTCAGCACCCCAATATATTTATATATACACACCATATCTACTCTTTAGATTTAGGGTTGAAGAATGTTGAAGACACAGGCCCTCAAAAGGGCAATGAATATCAAGAAAAGCACGGTCCCAAGTGCTGGTAAGGCCATGTAAGGCCTAGCTGAGCAGTTCATGTCGTGTAAGGGCTATCCACCGCACGCACGAGTCAACAAGCGCCGTGAGCGCCAAGAAGCTATGAAGAAAGCACTGACTGTCGTTGAGTAGTGCCTCTTGCTCGGCTTCATGAAAATCCCTCCATGGCCGCGTATGTGAGGGCATCTCAGCTTTTGATAGATCCTGAAAGGCCAGCCTGTACAAATACTGTAATAGCGGCATCCAGTGGGTTCAATGAGGACACGTTTGCGGCTCGCCTATTTCCGCGCCCCAAAGACTCCAACTCCACTGTTCACAGTTCCTTACTTAGGGCAATTTGGGCAGCCAAAAGGCTTCAGACCATCTAAGGGTTCAGCAAACAGTGTAACTAACACTACTTTATTCTCCTGGTAGTTTGCGCGCTTTTTTTTGCTCCGAGCCGAGCATAGTCTGTGCGCGTGTTTGATTCGCAAACTGCGAAGAATATGATCTGCACAATGGTACTGTCGATTCATGCCAAACCTTAGCAGCAAGAAGTGGACATAGGTGGACTAACCGCTACAACATAGCTGGTGCAACACCATTTTTTACAAATCGGCAATCCTCCAACCAGTGGGTCTACCGCTATCAGTGATCTCTTTCCACTGGACTCGTTCGAAAGTTGAAGGATTATGGAACCTCTTTTGGACCTCTTCAGAGTCTTCAGCTTCGTAACTCGTTGAAGCAGCGTTCACCCGTAGAGGTCGTCGTCATCGTCCGCCGCCGCGGCACTCGCTCCGATGCCGACATCGTCCGGCCAGTTGATGACTACGCCCGAGCTGCCTCCGCCCGCGGTGGAGTTCATGTAGATTGGGTCAAACTTCTTCCGGAACCTCAACAAGCACCGGGTAGCAATTGAACATTTATGGCATGCCTTTCAGATTTCAATCCTAATACTTTTATGCTTTGGGGCACCTGTTGTAGCTTATATTATATATATATATGTATTTTCACAAAATCATGACTTGGAAACGATGATTTTTCCCGACCAAACGGTGACTTTCCTTGGCCAAAGATCGGCTCTTACCTTTTTGCAAACTTTCATACATGTGCAAATAGCTGATGATGGTAGTGGCATGCATCATACTCCATAATATCGACATATAGATAGACAAATGTATGTAGTGTGGGGCTTGTCAACCCTCCACATTTGCCAAAGGCGCTGATCATACTTTGCCAGGTCGGAACCCGCCACTGATCGCCTAGCGCCTGCAAACGCCTCTTCAAAGTGCTTGCGACCAATCTCCTAAGCAGTTAGGGACAAAACCTCAAAATATCTAAAGGCAATCTCTAGCACAGGCTTTTCACAGTCTAGGGAAGCCTCAGGCCGAACTTTGGGAGTTTTGCAGAAGCTAAAAACCTACGACGGCATGTCCAGGAGTCCATGCTCACTAGTCACTAGTTCACCATCATTCAATCGAGTCTCATTTCCCATGGTGGTGTCCATGGCGTCATCATCTCCGGCCCTCAGCTCATCCGCCGCAATGGCGTCTCGTACGGCAGCCTTGGCGGCGCGTTGGCACAGCTCTGCCAGATCTGCTCCGCTGAAACCCTCGGTCTTCTGCGCAATGAAGGGCAGCGGCACATTGGGAGCCACTGGTGACTTCTTCAATGTGGCTTCCAGGATGCCCTGAGACACTAAACCACAAGCTTAGATCAGGGTTGGCTCAGGGGAAGCCTCGATATGCTGGGAGTTTCAAAACAGTAAGGATCAAACGATCAAGCCTGTTTGCATATTCAATAGCCTCGATCATATATATTTATGTGTGTGTATATTTTGATTATATTATATATATATAGATGTATTTGTCATGATGAAGACTTTTATGGTGGAGGTGATGTCTTTGTTCAGACTACCCTGCCTGTCTTGCGGGCAGGTCAGGCAACGGGATGTAAATGAGCTGATCCAAGCGACCCGGACGGAGCAAGGCTTCATCCAGGAGCTCTGGTCGATTGGTGGCGCCGATGAAGAAAACGTTCTTCTTGGCACCCACACCATCGATCTCGGTCAGTAGCTGGTTCATCACTCGGTCACCTGGGCACCGGGTAATAGCGGTGGCCTCCAACCTACTAGCGATGGCCTCCAACCTACTAGCAATGGCCTCCAACCTGCTGCCGATATTACATCTGTCTTTGGAATCCGGTTCTGCCACTTTCCAGTATGGCCTACTTTCCAACTCTGTGCTTGAACTGGAACTCATCCCTCGCCGCCACTCATGGATCCGCATTGCTTTATCTGACCATGCCGAATTAGGTTCAGAGAAATCCGCAAGCTTGCTCTATTTTCTAGTGGTCCCAACGAACCTTTCAATGAAATCTCAAAGATCGAAACAAACCGTCCAAACAACGAGGACAATGCAAAAAGCTGCGGAGAACTTCACCTCCTCTACTCTCTCCCTCGAGTCGCCTGCTCCACCAGCATCTCCTGCACTGGAGCCACGGGCTGTGCCCACCGAATCCAGCTCATCGAAGAAAAGAACGCAGGGCGCTGCTGCGCGGGCCTTGTCGAAGACTTCACGCACATTGGCCTGTCAGCTTCACATCTCCCTACATTTCCTGTTTGAGCGCTAAGTGGTCACTTACCTTGACTTACGTTCGCTATCAATCGCTGTACTGTCACAAATGTTTGACCTTCCAATTCAAGCACGCAGCTATACTTGTGTGCGGGGGTTAGGGAGCATATGGGAGCATCATCAAATGCCCACAGCCAACTCCTCACATCGGATTTCGCTGACTTCGATGGCCTAGGACCTAAACAGGTGGCTGCGGTCACCAGTTGCCAGTTCGCAACAGAGCGCATATGATTTACTAGTGTCTGCTCTGCATAATATGTCTTCACATATGCCCAAGTACGGCCACTGTTGGAGAGCATTTGCCGGGCGCCTCTGACTCTCCGAACCACATGGTGAGCAACTCTGGGCCCTTGATGCTCACGAAGTTGGCCGAGCACTCAGAGGCTACCGCCTTGGCCAGCAGCGTTTTGCCGCAGCCTGGGGGGCCATAGAAAAGAACTCCTCTGGAGGGTTGCATGCCTCAGGAAGGCACGAAGCATGGAGAATTTGAGGGCATTGAACGCCAGCCCAGCTAGCAAGGCTTCTTGTTTCAACTTTGGCAGTACAGATTTCAATCAATTTCAGCCACCATGCCCCAGGGCACAGGTAATTTCTGGGAATTTCAAGATGCAAGATATCCATTCTGTAGCAGCCAGCTAGCCAAAAGTGGTGGTTTGGTAGTTCTTGCCATCGCCGGATTTGGGAAAAGGGCTTAACAAGTGCGTGTATGCTAGGCTTTCAGGATGTGGCCAACACAAGGACATCCGAATGAACAAAAAGCAGAGGAAACACAATGCAAATCCAAGAATGCCGAACTTCTCGAACTTCTCAGGGTGATCAATAGGATATAAAATCGTCTCCTGTAGAGATCGCTTTGTATCTTCCAATCCACCAATGTCATCCCACTTGATGTTCGGCACTTCGACCACGGTTTCTCGAAGGGATGATGGATTCACCTTGGCTGTGGCAGCACAGAAGCGAGGCATTTGACAAATGCACTGATGCGCTCTAAAGACGTTCAGTTTGTACGGCAGGGCACATTGGAACCCCTTTTTATGGACCTTAAACTGCCTCAAGCTCTGAAACTGTTCCTGAAGAAATCAAACACCAACACACACTTAGATAGATGGCTCGCAAGAGCAAACGTCGGCTTTAGTAGCCCGTGGTGTCAGCCCTTTAAATCTAGTTACTGTATTGCCAGTCTACAGCGCTCAAACCTGAACCTACGAAATCAGCCCTGGGAGGAACGGACAGGCAAAGTCCGACAACAGTATGAGTTAACTAAAGGAAAGCAAGAGCAATGTGATCAGGTCCCCTTAGAGACAGGGGTTGACACACACATACACACGTGATGGAGTGTTAGCTTCGCAAGTCATGCGAGTCACTGTGCCCATTGCGGACTTGAAATGTTCCTGACTCACCGCCATGGAATCCAAGATTTCCTCAGCTGATCTCTATGCATCACTTCAAGAATTCAGCTGAACATGTGCTGTTCAATTGCTGTATGGTCATTCAATGCCATCAAAGAATATGCGGAGTGAAAGAAAAGAGTGAGAATAAATGAGAAAAGGGGTCAGGATTGGTTGGCAAGTGATGCCCACCAGTCCACAAATAAATGTGAACCACCATCTCAAAGAACAAGATTCAGCATCAATAGTCTCCTCTTCCAGGTCAATGAGATCCATCTTTTCACCTGGCTCTGGCTCTTGAGTCAAACCCAGGCAAATCGTTGATGTTTGATTGATCAAGATCTCAATTATCGAGTCAAGGTAGCTATAAGACTTTCAACATCAGCCTGATGGCTTAGACCGAGAAGTGCCATCTCCGCATGCAACCTGTTCAGCATATCCCCAGCTCACTATGCCCCCGGCTACCCCGCCACAAGTGTGGCAACCCCTCCAAACCAGCCATACCAGGTCCAGTGACGAATGCAAGTCAAGGCTGCTTCGGTACAAAGCTGTGCAAGATCGGCTCCCACAAATCCATGAGTGTTTGAGGCCACTTCCTCCAGCTTCACATCTGAGGCTAGCTTCATGTTCCTCGAGACATCCGTGCACTGCCATCCAACCCCGTGAGCCACGGGGTTGAGAGGTTGACGGTTGACAACTGTTTCCCAAACATGTCCAATGCATGTCAAATGTCATGAAATTCTGTGCTATACCCCTGAGCCATACACCCCAGGGGTGCCAGGAATATTGCCGCATATTTGCACTAGACGTCACTTTCATGGTCCACAAATATGGCAACTATTGAAGTATTGCGTGCATATTGGTAACCTCAAACCCAAATATACCACTAAAAAACAATATTGCAGCACATATGCCATGCATCAAACACACACACACACACACACTTGAGCTTTACTTAGAGTTCTAGGCATTCAAGCGAGTTAGAACGACACAATAACTTCAGGTACATAAACCACCATGAAACAGCGGTCACTTTGTGACGGGCTAAGCTGGCCATCTTATGCTGCATGTTTGCACTGGTGGCTTGTTTTTGACGGTTTTCGTTTATATCATTTAAGTATACAGTATCATGTAAATACGTGCCAACGTTGGATTATTGCCGCTTTGACCTTGCGTATGCAACCCAAAAAGGCTGCGATACCGCATCCCGTGCGTGTCTCTTACACTCATATTTGGTGGAAATAGTCCTGCAAGTGGCGGAAATGCATACGCAAAGAATAAGCGCAGGTTACGCTGGGAATTGACACCGTTCTCTTGTGAAGAAGGACCACAGCTGTTTCGCTGCGCGAGTGCAATTCAATGCATGGTTTTGATTCACCTTCGGTGGGTCTTTGGGTTCTTACCCCTGGGGAAGCGGTACTTCTATGATTTGCAACAGCAAGCCCTTGTATCACTTCCACACTAGTCAACTACCACAGAAACGTTTCGGCTTTGGAAGCTGTCCAATGAAGCACAACAAACACCACGCGGGAAGCTCTCCACCCTAGTAGCGATGGCCTCCACCCTAGTGGCCGCCAATGATGGCCTTCGGTCGCCGAGCTTCTTGGTGTGGATGCGGAGGATCTCAAGCCTTCCGTTGTCATCTGGCACACCAATGTCCAACTCCCGGTCGAAGCGTCCGAAACGTCGCAACGCGGCATCAATGGTGTTGGGCCGGTTCGTGGCCGCAATGACCACCACCTGCGACCCAGGCGTTGGGTGTTTGCTGTTCTGTTTAAAAACCCGACCTGCTTTCCGTGCTTTGGGTTTGTATTGTGTCACATGTCATCTACATCGATCATAACATTGTCCACAATCCGTGCGCTTTCACATGCAAAATCAAGCAAACTGTCCAAATGTGTCAAATGCCTTCATGTATATTTATATATATATATATATTTATATTATATATACATATAACGTATATATATATAGTGATATATATATATGGATACATGAGTGTGCCAAATGTCAACACGTCGACAGCTATTCTCTTTGTCGGTTCCCACACCTGGCCACGGCCCTTGATGCCATCCATCAATGTCAAGAGCTGTGAGACCACTCGCTTCTCCACTTCACCGCTAGTCTTGTCACGCTTTGGGGCAATAGAGTCAATCTCATCGATGAAAATAATGGCAGGTGAGTTCTTCTCAGCTTCTTCAAACGCTTTTCGCAGGTTGCTTTCTGCCTCTCCGGCCATCTTGCTCATGATCTCCGGGCCATTGATCAGGAAGAAAAAAGCGCCGGTCTCATTGGCGATCGCACGAGCGATCAAGGTCTTGCCACTGCCAGGAGGACCATACAAAAGAACGCCCCTTGGCGGCTTTACACCCAAAGTCTTGAAGAGCGTGGGATGTCGCAACGGCAACTCTATCATCTCTCGGATTTGGCCCATGGCTTTCTTGCATCCACCAATGTCATCATAGCCCACATCGTCCAAACGTTCCTCATCCTCACGCTTCACAGGCTCACCTTCACAGTGGATCACCGTGTCGGGGGCCACAATCACAAACTCCCCAGGGTCAACGCCCACCACCTTGAACTCCACAGGCCTAAAACCACCTCGCACTAGGAAGAGATCTCCTGTGCAGTCTATCTCTTCAACATACATGACTCATGTCACATGTCTGTCTCTCTCTCTCTCTCTACAAAAACAACCGCACGAGCATATGCACGCGACATCCGTTTAATCTAACAGAACATGTTATATGCAAATGCGTACTGTTACACTATGTTGGCAATTGTGTGTCTTCATTAGCTCTCTAGAGGTGATTGCCCAGTGAGAGAAAAACGCACATCTTAGAAGGTTCACATGCCAGGATTCATGTTTTCGTGTTGGCTTTGCTTCGTTGACTGTATCCGCCTGGCGCACCATGGCGCACCACATGCACATCAAGCACATCAACATACATCAACTCTCCCAGGCTGAGTCTCCTTGACGGGCTGGTCTATAGGCTTCTAAGTAGTAAGGCTTCAGGTATGTGTCAAAGAGGTTTCCGGTGATACCCTCAATAGTGTCATCCAACGGCAGAACATGGATCCGCTTTCCATAAGGAACGTCCCCGCAAGCATGCACTGAGACAATGTCACCAAGACGAACTCGCAAGTTCTTGCGCACAACCTCAATGTCAGCGCTCCAAATATCTGGAGCCCTTTTCTTTCAATCATGACACTCAGGGAACATCACGTACACTTAGCAAAACAGGCCAAACATAAGTGGAGGCAAAAAGGTACTGTGGATGGATGAAATCCTGCACCACCTCACCACTTTGCCCTGCAAAGGTCGCATAGCAACCCCTGCGCCCCCTCGTTCAATGTTGCGCGAAACCTCTGAGGAGGTGGTGCAGGATTTTGGACCTTCAACTTATTTTTGAATTTCTCACTGTGGTGGCCCGAATGTTAACGAGGGAGAACGAGGGCAGCAAGAAAACCATGCGCAAAGTGGTGCAGGATTTTGTCCATCAACAGTATCATCTCCAAAACAAACAGTCCTTCTCTCTAGAAAGGGCTACTGCAATTAAACGATCTGTATGCCAGAGGTCTCAAAGCATACGACAAAGGCTCTGGCCTTGTTCATGCGGATCTTGCTATCATCTAGGTTCTCATCTGCCAGGACAATGCAAACTGTGTCCTTGTCGAGGGCTCGGGTGTTGAATAGCAGTCTAACGACTCAAAAGGCAGCCTTCAAGTTGAACTGGATTATCTTAATTGACCCACTTGGAGAGAACATCCAAATCTGAGTGGTGCATGGATGGCTCAAGATTCTTATGTATAATTATAATACGATCACCAACCACCCCTTAGTCCTTGCGCTTCTTGCCCTTGATCAACACATTGTCCCCACGGAAGAGGTTCAGCTCCTCCAAGTTGATGCATCTCATCATGTTCGGTCAGATCAAGCTTTGGAGATCTTAGATCCTCTGGTTATTTCCCATTCTCGGTCAAACTCATGAAACCACAATGTCGCTGGTGGTGTTCGATGCCTCTTGTGTGCTCAAAAAAAGTCGTCCGAACTCATAGCTGAATCGGAGTGTTCATGGTAGTAGTGATGGCACTTATGAATTAAGATCCTTATGGTCAAACAAATCCACGCAGTGGTTGTGATGTTGTCCTCCATCTTCGCCTGGGAGAGCGAGATCACCTCAATCCACTCAAATGCTGCAAATTCGATCCCAAAGAGTTTGTAGGTGTTCAGGTGTTCACGTCGTTTATCAAAGATTGTAGGATACCCCGAGTGTTACCGCTGCTAAGGGAACGGGGGGGAACAAACAAAGTGAAACAAATATACAGTATATAACAGAAATGAAATGCATGTGGCAGAAATGCAACAACAAGTCGGGCAGTTTTAAGAACACACAAAGCTGTTCCCGGTATGCTATATACATTGACGGAGTGCGGGTTCTCGAAATTTAGCAATGCTGAGACAACTAGCTGGAACAAATCTAGACAGCGGATTGGCCAAACTGTGGCCATATGATGCCATATGCGCTGTGTTCTAAAGGCATGCTTTGCCATGATGTTTTGTCTCACCAGAATTTGACTGTCAGGACCTTGCGGCAGTTTTGACGCAGCTCTCATCGCCCACTGCTGCTCAGCTACCGAATTGTCATCATTCATGGCCTCCTCCACCACTAGTCTGTTGGGTGACCTAACACGCCCAGCTCCACGAGAATGCTCCGTGGTTCTATGATGAGGCTCTTCTACATTCTTGGTCGTGCAATCTTCATGCTATAATTATAAGGTAAATAATATTAAGCCAAAATATATGTACTATTATCTTCAGCCGCGTAAGTCCGAAGTTGTGTGCTGTCACTACTCTCGCGTCCAACCCCAAGCCCTTCACGCCCTTCATAACCCGACAAATTGTCTCCTCCATGCCCGGTGGCCTTTTCTTGGTTGGTTGTTTTGGAACCTCAACTGGTGCTTCGGCTGCGGGTGCATTGTCTGCCATAGCGAATGACGAATTGGGAAGAATCAAGACGGGGGTCTGATCTGAGCTGAATTGCTGCAAAAATTAAAGCAAAACTGGGAAACCACCGGAGTCATGAGTCACAAAATGCATGCTCCATCAGCATTCCTGAACAAGCACAGCGTCTTTTTGAGCATCAACCCATCTTGGGATGAGCTGCGCATGCACTTCCAACTAAGACTACTGACTAGTGGCAGCAACCTCCGGCTCGAGCCCCAACAGGCTGGAGCCAGACTGCTAAGGGATGCTTGGAAGGCAAACCCTCCAAGCGAGATGGAAGAAACACCAGCGGCTGGCCAGACTTAGCTTCGATCTCTAGAGCTTGACAGCTTGGCTTCAATCCTTCGATCACTTCGATCCTTTGTTTCCCACGTGCGAAACACGCACTGCCGTTTTCAGTGCTCTGTTCACCAAGGTGAGCACGCACAAAAAGCCCATCAGCATTTGCAGTTCTAGACTCACCTGGTGACGGAACACACAATATCGCTGCAAAAAGAAACACATAGGCACATAGTCGAATCAAATGGTTCAAATGGTCTTAGTACGTAAGTATTCAAAAAGCTCCAGCAATGGCAAGCTTTTGTTTCTTGGTATTTGCGAGTCCCCAACAAGAAACTGGCCGACAGGCAGCAAGCAAATAGGCCTCCTGTGATTCCTTTGCTTTGCCGATCTGCTTGCGCAGAATGGAATGTGTCGGTCCTGGGTGTTGGCATCCAAGGTGTGGTGTGATCAAAAACTGCTGCAACGCTACAACTTCTGGAGCCAAGTGATGGAGCATAGTCAATGGAGTGTATTATGTCGATGGCCCGGAATCGCAAAAACAAACCAAAGCCTTTGTTTCAGGTAATTTGGTTATTTTCTCGGCTTCGGCTGTGATCTGTTCTAGGTTTCTTGCCGCTTGGGTCTGGCCAAAACGTCGCCCGCAATGAGGACAAGCAACACGATCCTCAAGTGATGTGAGCCCCATGAAGAACTGGTTGTTGTCGCGTATCGTACAGTTTCTGCGCACTGTCGTCCTGTTTCTGATATATAAAGAAATCACCGATGTTTGTCCATTGGTTCTTCCACACCCTTGATCCGATTGGCGCGCGAGGCTTCCGAAGGGCTTAAGCACCCAGCATCCAGTGCTGGATCCGGTGGTGGCGGAGCTGGCAATGAGGAGAGAGGCTTTCCATCCTGTACAGACAGTGCTTGCGGGCGTCGGGGGCTCCATGAGCCCTGTAACGGTTAAAATCGGGTAACTTAAGCCCTGTCAAAATGCACGGTTGAAGTAAAGTGATATGAACAAAACCAGCATTGACATTAGTGCTTCCGGCCTTTACACACTGGTCCACCATCCTCGCCTGGCCATGAAGCTACAGGAAGCAACACGGCATGCTTGGAGAATAAAATCAAACATCGTACGGCGTAACTATGCAGTACAACAGACTAGCGTTGTCCACACACACACATACACATACATATTGAAAATCCGTGCATGCAAGTTAAGTCGCTAACATTCGCCAACGTTTCATTTCAGGATGCAGCCTTTAACCTGATATGAATCAGTCGAAAGCAACTTGTCTCAAGCTGTCAAGCGTTCAGCCCTTAGCTTAGCCTATGAGCAGTAAACACGTTCAGGCAGTGAACCCCACCCGCGGCCCATTATCTTGACCTTCCGCTACCATCCCCTACCCACATCTTCCAAGCTTTCCACCAAAACATGCAAAACACATCACCAGTGGATACCGCTGGTGGTTCTCGTGGTTCCTCTTCCAACTCAAGGTCCAAAACCTTCCCGCCTGCTTGATGGCTTGCCGGAAGGCCTCGGACTGCTTCTTCCAGCTCGGGACTGCGCACGACAAGTTGGGGCGTCGCTGTTCGCGTCGCGGCGCAGCTTTGTGGCGACATCAACGTGTAAGTGTATACCCGATGAGTGGGGGGTGACAGGGTGAGCAAAAAAGTTAAAAGGCCTCCGATGCTGTTGAGTATTGTTGAGTGTAGCTTACAGAATCCCCAAGGTCAAACACCTTAGGAAAGGAAGTGGGGATGTGTGGTCGCTTGCAATGGATGGGGCCGCAGTAGGTGCATGTTGACCATCAAAACTCAACTTCACGCGCCTGTGGTCATACCTAGTCAGAGTATGTCAGAGTAAGCCTTCAAAAAGCTCAAAAAGTTAAGGCGGCTGGTCTGACTGCCAGCCTATCCTTGTCAGGTTGTGAGCGTTTTGCTTGCCGCTTGCCTTTGCCCTGTCCCTCCAATCATCTCTCAATCCCTTGCTTCATGATCGTTTTTTGCGACGCCAACTGCAGTAGTGGTTTCACCACACGTCGCTTTTTGTTGACGTGGCAGGCCACTCCCTGATGACAAAGAACACAAACAACAAATCTGAAGAAATAGCTTTGAACACAGCTTTGAACATGTTTACATTACTTTTCAGCAGCAAACATGTCACTGGTTCTCCCTTAAACTTAAACTTGCTGACAGTCTGGGGTTATTCGCCAAAACTACGCCGCGCAGTCTGGGCCGGCAAATGTACACACAACGAATCCAATCAGATTGAAGGCAACGGGGAGGGTATGAAGTGGCGCGCTTTCATGCTTCCATGCGGTTGGGATTCCATTGGCGATTGAACAGCCACACGTTCTGTCGAGACGCCCGTCCTAGCTACAGTTGTCAGGGCTGAAGGACCCCAGGGCTGGGCGAGCATCCATATACAGTAGCAAGCCTTCCCAAAGACCTGTGCCACAAACAGTTTTTGCCCCCTGGCAAGAGGAAACGCACAAACATTCAACATTGAAAAACATAACAACAGAGTCCAAGGTATTCAAAACAATCTTGGCGGGCATAGGCTCATAGGACTGCTCATAGGCAGTAGAGTCCTTTGTTTTGTATATTATATGGTCAATTCCCAATAGGATCTTCACAACTTGTGCTCATCCAGCCCATAGTATACCGGGCATGGTGTGGCAAACAGCCGACCAAATCGGCTGGCTTCGTGGGAGCATGGCTGCAAGTCTAAGCGTACCAAGCCAAGGATTTTGAGTTTAACCAGGACCCACCAGTGTGGTCATTGTCCGTCCCTTCTATGTATACCCGCACTAGGCTTGCTGAAGTCTTGCATATGATGAGGCGCCCTCTGGAGTCTTGCAGCATGCTCTCCAGTCGGAAAACCAGGCTGGCACTGTAAAATGGCCAGCTCTGCGCACCGGAGGGCGAAAAGAAGCACAAACAACGGGGCCTGAAGCACTTGTGAAGCTCATGCCAAGAAATGGCATCAATTATCAATGCACCATTCTTGTACCTGGCAAACCTTGGCCCCATGGCCTGGCCTTCTCAATTCTTCCCTGCTGCCCGGCCGCTCCTTCTCGCCGAAAACCAGTCCGGGGGGCCTTTCAAGTCGGATCCCAAGGGCCTTCCAGCTGTTTGGGCCAAGCTGGTGGCCACCGGGACATCTTCAAAACCTACACATGAAAGGTCGCTTAAAATGGTCCCACTGAAAATCGGAAAGCGCACCCCCTCTTGAGCGCTTAGCATGCCTGGCAGGCTCCGGCTGGAGCACAATTATGTAACATGACAACTCCACAAAGAAGGTGGCCCTCCATGCTTTATATAATTAGATGGTGATGATATGTGATGATGGTGGTCGGCTTACTCTTCAGAAGTTGCAGAACTCCCATTGCCTGCTTGCAGCATGCCAAGGCCCAGTAGACTGTTCCAAACGTCAGGGTCAAGTTTTGAAACCCGAGGATTGGGATAGAGTGGGCGCACTTGGTAGTTGGCGACGCATGGCCAAGGTGGCCTTGCTATCACGAGACCTCCCTGGGTGTTCCATAGCCGTACCACATGCGCGTCGTCCCAGAGTGCAGCAATGAATGCACTGACTGATCTTTGTCACATATTGTCATATTGTCACACAGTATCATCCAACAAGTCTTCCAACACTCATCAACACCATTCAACACCCATCAAACACCCAATCTAATTGGTATTCTCAAAGACTCTGGGGCGTGAAGTTCTATTCTGTAATTTTTAGCGTACACTTCCTCGGCGGATCCCCGAATTAGTCGTAGCCTTTGGTCAAGGGCCCCGAGCCGTGCCGTGTACTGGGTCACCGGCCTTCCAGCTTGACCACTCTCACTACATTCAGCCCTTCAAATTACAGGCAAGCACCCATTGTGCGCCGAAGGATCCTCCAAGCAAAACTCGCACGAAAGGAGCGCTCTCGACTTCTTGCCGAGGAAAATGAGGCCTAGCAATTCGACGAGTCACACTATAGAAGGTGTGCAGCAACTCATTAAGCTGCAACATGCCATCTTATTTGTCTAGTTGCAGTGACCTCAATCTTGGCAGGGATTGCATAAAGCCATCCGTGAAGCCAAGCCGCTCCAAAAGCCCAAATACGCGAGCTTGTCAAACACGCTTCGAGCAACATGCAGTCTACAGTAGGCATATGTATGCCGTCTGTGCTAGAGGAAGAACGTGGTGGAAGGGAAAGCCCAATCGGCCACCGGCGAGCAAAGAACACTTGGTGCAATCAGTCACACGCAATGCCACATGCAGTGTCAAGGTCCCAATGTCACGTCCCTCCGAGTCTCTCAGGTTCCAGTGTTCTCGAAAAGCCCAGCCAGTCCCCTTCAACTCCTCACAGCTATCGCTACGTATTCATGTGGCGGTCTGCCATCGCGAGCTGGGAGGGTTGCATTCCCAAGACTTCTCTTGAATTAACGTTGTTGCGGATTGATGTGCTATTGGCAGCTTCCTGACAGGTTTGATCAATCTCACTAAAAGGGCCTCATGACCAGCTTTTGAAAGAGTCTTCAGAGTGTTTTTGCTTCCATAAACTGTTTTGTTTGCATTGACATTTTGCGGGAGACCGCAGTTGCGGCCAGGTAGCAATCGGCACATGCATGCATTCAGCCTCATGGCAACTCCAGATTCTGGCCTGACAAAACACTGGCGACTCGGCGACTAGTGAAAAACAAATAGAGGCACGCTGCACGCTTATCGTTGTAGTGGGGACGGCCGGGAATTCATGCATCCATTCGTCAAGCTCTTGGGCTCTTTGCGATTCTTTGCGTGCCAGCGTGCCATGAACAAACCTCTAGTCGAATGCAGTCCATCCTCGTCTGCCACACCTGGAAGGTCGTTTCCCAGGAAGTCGACGACTGTGTAGTCTACCTCCAAGGTTTACCGATGCACGAGCTTGCATTTTGGGGGTTCATTCCAATTATTCATAAATATTCTAAATGCTGTGTTTCCAAGATTTTCCAAGGGGTGTCAAGAGTGCAAACACTCAGGTGAGTGAATGATTAACCGATGAATCCTCCAAGTCCAATGAACCAACGACCAGTTTAGAAAAGAGCTGGCCCTAGCAGGAATGAACAACCGAGCACACATACGGACATTTGGCTGTGCCTGGCCTGGCCCAAGCCCTTCAATTCGGCGGTGCACTCGCTGAGTCGCATGCTATCTCGGCCCACCTGCACCACAAACACATGTTGCGTGTTACAAAGAGCATGAGTTCCAAAGTCACTGTCACCTTTTGCTCCATTGACATGGGAATATGCTGATGGTACATTCGATCCCTGTGACTGTGGGTTTACATGTTGATCTACGATGCCGCTGACCCTGCTTTCTGCATCACTTCCTGCCTGTTCCCGAAGCTGGGAAGCAAAGTTCGAGCAGCAAGCAATCTGTGATCGGGGGCACATCGACTCCAAACGCTGCGAGAGGTGGATCGTTGAGCCAAAAACCTCAGTTACGGGGCTGAAAGGAGCTGAACCAGTCGGGTCATGACATGTCATGTCCCCATGACTGGTGCACATCGTCACATCCTGAGGCCCTAAGGCATTCTCATAAAGCAAAACTAAGTTCATCCTGAAAGGTTCCATGTCTTCCTTCGAGATCAAACCGCCGGGGAACACGGAAACTTCGTCCATCTACAACTCCGGCACATAAAGGGCCAGAGGCGATACCAACTCTCAAATACATGTCATGGTCGCTTGCGAAAGATTTAAGCATCTCGTCAACTGCTTTCTGCACCTCAGGGCCAAAAAAAGAAAAACACATTGACACTAATAACGGCAGTCCAAATGCCTGCTGCCCAAACACCCATGCCATACATGGCTGATCATTTTATGCTCACTAAAACGATGAGGACGACACGCGATGTCTTGTCTCCCTGAAAATGCCAACAGGTCCTGAAGCGGACGGCCTGGCCTTGCTGGCAACGTAGATGCCAATTGCTGCTGTCCGGCCCGGAAAGCGACCCATGAATTCCGCATTGCACAACAACAGCAGGCCTTGGGTCAGTGGCTTCAGGATGACCAAAAATGGTCCACATGAAAGCTCCTGCCACCCGTCGCCAAAGCTACGTAGTGTCTACGAAGCCCACTAGGCAAGATGCTATCTCCAACAATCTCATGGATGTAGACGTAAGGAAGTGCCTCTCTTTCGACTACCGCATTGGCAGTCACATAGACCTGAGGCTAGGCAAACGCACACAGCTTGACAACAAGTCGGCAAACATGCAGGACGATTCAAACATGATCGATTCGAAGTTCAACATCCAAAGCACCATAAAGCACTATTGACTCAACAAACAGGTCACTGGTCAATTAAAAGAGCTCTGCTGGAAGCAGTGAACGGTCCAACCGCTCAAGGTTGATCAAGGTTGGCTATATACAGTAGTTTGCAGATTGTCTGCTCACTGGTCAGTCTAAGGGCAAAACAACATGAAACCGCTCGGATACTTTGTTTAGACATCCTTTGACCTCCAAGCTTCCGAGAGTCGAGTGAAAAAAAACAAGCAATCATGCCTGCCTTGTGGAGAAGCTCTGCCATGACTCGTGGTGGCTGCCGACAAGAGAATCCTCATGGAAAACCGCCGTAAAGAACTGGAAAACCGCCGTGTCAGACTGTCAAATCCTTGAGGCTTTCAGCTGCCCCTGATCTGGAGCCCTCCCAGAAAACTGAACGTGGTCAGGAAAATTGCATGGTTGACAAATGGTTCAACCGAGTGGCTGGTAGTATTGGCCAAGTCGGTCATAATGCAAGCAACTTCCTGAACACAGAGCTAGCATGATTTGATGCTGAAGTAGAAGCAAGAATTTGTCAAGTACCCCGGCTAATTAGTGATTAGTGTGTGTGTGCTGTGGTGCTATCTTCTACAGGCCGAGTTCAATCACCCAGTCGGATGCAATGCACTGTTCAACTGTGTCCGACGGCAGTCCGACACACCCACGCCTGGGCATCGACCAAATGGAGAGCTGGCTCTTGCTTGATGTATTGTCCAAAACCCCGCGGCACAGAGTACGGCAGCTTTCCACGGACTTCATCAAACACCTTAGTAAGGGTTAAAAAGATTTAAACAAAAAACACCAGCAAATCCTTGAATTGAAGCATTTGAACGGTTGAATCCAACCCTCATCCATTTTTCTGACAACCTCAGGCAAGCTTCAATTTCAGATGACAAGTCCATGCGCAGCTGTACCTCAGCTGCAAACACATCTGAGCTCAGTCGTCACAATTACATTTACATCACATTTGCAAATTGCAATGCAGTCACAGGCACCGACAGTCGGCAGGCTACAGGCTTCTTGTCCACATCCAACACAATGCTATCGCCTCAAGCACATGGAATAGTGAGAAGACCTCGATAAAAAGTATGCCCCTAGCAGTCCAATTGGGGGTTGTGGGATGCCAACCGGCCAACCCAGAAAAAATTTGGTTAATGTTTGTAGGATTGGTGGAGTTGAAGCACTGAAGGCAAAGCAAGGGCATGTTGGGGATATGTTTAACTGAAGGATGCTGATGTCAATGTACTAAATTCCCCAGCACTTGAGCTAATCTGCCGATAATCCGCCGACCCCACACCGTGGGGTGAGGCGTGACTGTCGATGTTAGCCTTAGCCTTATAAGCCTTAGCCTTCCTTAGCCTTAGCCTTAGCCTTAGACTTAAGCCTTAGCCTTATCCTTAGCCCTAGACCTTACCTCCCCTACCCCTCCGGACCCTTGTTGCAGTGACGAAATCCCGTTCAAAAAGCGACCTGATAGCTACGGAATTTGACGGGAAAGCGGCCTGGATTGTCCAAGATTCTGCCATCCCAATTGATTTACATCTTGGGGCACCCTCTCGACCCGCGCGGGAAAATAAGCACGGTCCAAAATGGTCCTGGGCTCGAATCCCGGGCTGGTCGCGGCATGGTCCCGGCCAATGCCCTTGCTTTTTCGTAGATTTTGTCACGTTTTCTGTTGGTTTATGAAATTTTCAAAGGCTTTTCTGGCATGTTTTCGGCTGGATGCTTTTCCAAGAATTTTCTAGCGCTTCCTCTTGTTTTTAGGTTCCCAGATTTCTCCCAAAAATTGGTAACCTTTTGCTAACCTATGGAACTTTCAAAGGCTTTTCTAGCATTTTCCTAGGAATGCTCTAGGCTTTGTCTAGATTTTGTTATGTTTTCGGCTGGATGCTTTTCCAAGAATTTTCTAGCGCTTCCTCTTGTTTTTAGGTTCCCAGATTTCCAAAAAATTGGTAACCTTTTGCTAGTTCCCGGCCAATGCCCTTGATTTTTCCTAGGAATACTCTTGGCCGCACTTAGATTTTGTTACGTTTTCGACTAGATGCTAGGAATGCTCTAGGCTTTGTTTATTCGGGAGGGTGCTTTTCCAAAAATTTTCTTGCATGTCCTCTTGACTTAGGTTCCCAGATTTGCACCAAAAATTGTTGACCTTTGGCTATTATGCCAGTGTTCCCGGCCACACACGGGGCCCCTTAGACAACGACAGGATTATCGTGAAAAAACAGAGACAGTCCTCTATCGTGGAACCCACCTTTGCAGTTTGGCCTGCGAGGGGCCCTCGGCGATAGAGTGTGCCTGGACAGAGGGACATAGACGCGGACTCGTCGGTGAGGAACGCATCATCATCACCACTGGGTTCATGCAAGAGATCACGTATGGTAAATCTGGGAGGTACCCGAAAAGTCGACTTTTTGGGTACCTGCTTTGGTGGTGATGGGTCTCAACTCTTGGGCAATGATATTTTTTATGGGGTGAAGGGTTCAGCATCACGGGGTTCATGCAAGAGATGACGTCCGATGGTAAATCTGGGAGGTAATCAAAAAGTCGACTTTTTGGGTACCTGCTTTGGTGGTGATGGGTTGGGTCACCGGGAGAAACCGATCGATTCAGCACAAGGCCGGGCGCGGAGTCGACTTTTTGGGTACCTGCCTTGGTGGTAATGGGTTGGGTCGCGGGGAGAAACCGATCGATTCAGCACAAGTCCGGGCGCCGATACGTGTGGCATTTGAATGTACCCTAGACCATGGGCAGCGCCCTGCGGCCCCACAGGCCGCAGAACCCAACGCGTCACGGGGTTCATGCAAGAGCTGACGTCCGAGGTACCCAAAAAGTCGACTTTTTGGGTACCTGCTTTGGTGGTGCTGGGTTGGGTCTAAACTCTTGGGCAATGATATCCTTAATGGGGACGAGGGTTCAGCATCACGGGGTTCATGCAAGAGATGACGTCCGATGGTAAACCTGGGAGGTACCCAAAAAGTCGACTTTTGAAAAAACAGAGACAGTCCTCTATCGTGGAACCCACCTTTGCAGTTTGGCCTGCGAGGGGTCCTCGGCGATAGAGTGTGCCTGGACAGCAGGATATAGACGCGGACTCGTCGGTGAGGAACGCATCATCATCACCACGGGGTGCAAGAGATCACGTATGGTAAATCTGGGAGGTACCCAAAAAGTCGACTTTTTGGGTACCTGCTGTGGTGGTGATGGGTCTGAACTCTTAGACAATGATATCCTTTATGGGGAGAAGGGTTCAGCATCACGGGGTTCATGCAAGCGATGGCGTCCGATGGTAAATCTGGGAGGTACCCAAAAAGTCGACTTTTTGGGTACCTGCTTTGGTGGTGATGGGTTGGGTCACCGGGAGAAACCGATCGATTCAGCACAAGTCCGGGCGCCGAGTCGACTTTTTGGGTACCTGCTTTGGTGGTAATGGGTTGGGTCGCCGGGAGAAACCGATCGATTCAGCACAAGTCCGGGCGCCGACTTGTGGCACTTGAATGTACCCTAGACCATGGGCAGCGCCCTTCTCCCCCAGGAAACGCATAACACAGACACCGGCTGCCTCTCACCCGACGACTTGGGTGATCCTGCATTTTGCTCCAGGGGTGCTCCAGGAAACCCTTCTGGCGAGACACGATGCTCCACGAAGCTTTGTCACAAAACATGCCCGTGGTGGTCACGAGCAACACAATCGTGGCCCTTGAATTGTACCCTATACCATGGGCAGCGCCCTGCGCCGCCGCATCCACACTCCTCGAGGTCTGCCCGCCGGGGAGCACGAAGCTCTCGCCACAGGCCACCACAGCAAATCCCTCCATTCTCGGCCATGTGCCCCACGACACACATAGAGCCACCCCAAACAGCTGCCGCCTGCCCTCCAAGACCGGATCCACGGAGTCCTCAGCCCACAGCTTTCCCTCCACCAACTGGTCCTCCAAGGTTCGACCGTTGGTCCAGTCCCTTCCCGCAAGCTGTGGACCATCAGCAACCATCGCAACCACACTTCTCCAGCCAAAAGTGCTGCCGGTAACTCCCAACTCACGCTCCGCCCGCGCTAGACCCGATCCTCGCACCCCGGCGCTCGCATCCCCTAGCTTCACTCCACACTCCACTACACATCCCTTGCGCGCCTCGTCCAGTCTGGCAGCCGTCGGCTTCCGCCAGCCTGCCAAAGCACTGCGTGCCGGCGTTGTCCGCCCACGACCACTACACCGAGCAGCTTTCCGTGGCCTGCATAAGGGGACATACATGGGCAACGCCCTCGCTGGCTGAAGCGACCTAGCGAACACCATGGGCAGCGCCCTTCTCCCCCAGGAAACGCATAACACAGACACCGGCTGCCTCTCACCCGACGACTTGGGTGATCCTGCATTTTGCTCCAGGGGTGCTCCAGGAAACCCTATCCTCCCCACATCCAGGGCAACGTCCTTCCTCCCACCGTGGAACCACCCGCTTCCACACCCTTCCGTCCCCCCCCCCCCGGCCTACCGCACTGCAGACATTCCGCCACGCGCGCGTGCCACCCGCATGTACATGGCTACGGTCTCTTCCCTCGCTGGCGCGAGAACCTCGCCACCACCTGCCCAAGCTTCCGTTTGCGCTGCTCCGTCCTAGAACCAACACGCCACATGGCGCGGACACGGGCGCCTGACAGGCATGCGAAAATCTTACCAGAGCCTTTCACGTTACCACGGGCACTGGCCGGACCTCGTCCAGCGCAAAATCTAAACAAAGCCTAGAGCATTCCTAGGAAAATTCCAGGGCATTTGCCGGGAACACTAGAATCAAATAGGTTAACAATAGATTAATCAATTTTTGGGGAAATCTGGGAACCTAAACACAAGAGGAAGTCCTAGAAAATTCTACAACAATGGAAGAAAATAGGTTCGCAATTTTCTACGCATACCTGGGAAATCCTACAACTCCCTTTTACAACAAACCCCGGGTCCGGAAAGGTAAAAAAGTAAGGTCTGAGTCTAAGTCTAAGGCTAAGGCTATGGCTAAGGCTAGGCAAGGCTAAGGCTAAGGCTTAAGGCTAAGGCTAACATAGAGCAAGGCTAGTGCTAAGGTTCTATCCCTTGGGGGTCGGCGGCTGCAGGCGGTAGCCTGGTAAATCCGGGCGCCGGCCACGAAGCCCGTGCCCTGCCCGGAGGGCCTTCGGTGGTAACCGAAGGTTATAGACGCTCGCCCCCCCCAACCGCCGACCCTCGTCATCAAAACGGGGGGACCACCGGGTCACTGAAGCCCCTGTAATTTACAGTGCATCGTGTGTGTGAGGTATAAAAAGCACTGTGCTTTACAGGGTTTATTGCGCATATCGAAGTACGACGCGGGGAAAAGGGAGAAATGCAAAAATGCTGTGTTTTTCAAGGGTGGTGTCGGTAATGCGCGCCGGGCGGACAAGCTTAATCGACATTTTGTGGGTAGAGGCCCTCCAGACAACTTACGTTGCCTAACATATCCTCAACATAGGCCCAAGATAGCCAACATATCCCCAACATGCCTCCAAGATGGCTCAACATAGGGCCAACATAGGCCAACATGGGGCCAACATAGGCCCAACATAGGCCCAACCTAGGCCAACATAGGCCTAACATAGGCCAAACATAGAGGCTCAACATGCCCAACATAGACCACATGGGCCCCACTTGGCCCAACAACCTAGGGCCAAGATGCGCACCAGATAGCTTAACTTTGCTCAATATAGGGCCCCCGTCTCCGACGCAGACCAGTTTCCGGCACCACCAGGGCCCAGTATGCCCCTGATAGCTTAACGTGCGCCCGACCCAGCCCTACACAGACCCAAGTGGGCCGGCGCCCGGCTGTTAGGCGTAAGCCTTTAAATACACATGTCCATTTCCTCTGGACTGCCGATAATACAAATATTGTTCGTGATCAAGAGCAAAGTGACGGCAGTGAAGTTGCCCTCGACGTACGGCTAGTCTCCTTTCGGTCGCGCCCGCGCTCTTGAGGCTCCGGAAGATGGCTGCCTAAGCTTGACATTCCGTCATTATACATATAGAATCTCCGATAGTAACAGGTGGACGGAAATATATAAGTTGGCATTGATCAGAGTTTTTGTCAAATGTCTAGAAGATCACACTCAGTTGCTGGGCATTGTGGCCATGCAGTCCAATCTCATGTCTGAGCACATCTCGGCACGGCATATAGCTTCGGAGGGATGCAACGAGTCCATCACTGTTAGTTTAGAGGCAATCGCTATTATATAATAGTAACAATATCGACACCTTTGATGCACAAGTCTTCGCCATGGTGCATGAGCATCGGCCACGACTGGTGACATCAGCTCCAAAATGCTCCTAAGTGAAGGTGGAGCTGATGCACACATGATTATCTGACTCGTGCAATTTGCATATGGATGTGTGACATAATTATGTGTGAGCTGTTTTCTGCCAGAACTCAATCCAGAATCTGCACACAGCGTACGCATATAGTATAAACATAATCATGCTATATATCAATAAAATGACAAAGAAAGCCAAACAACTGCTATCAGCGGTGCCAAAGGTTCATACCAACCATTTCTTTTGGATCATAGCGCAGCAAGCGGCAAAGCCTAGGTTAGCTTCAAAAGGTTGAAGTTCAAGGGTTCCCTGATTAACAGCTGGGTCGACTTGTCATTCTTGGTTCACTTACGCGGAAGCCACTGTCCAAGCAGCTCAGGATGCACCTCTGTGATGATGAACTCCGAGTTGCAGGACAGCCTGTAGATGGATGTCTTCGTGTGGGCTCTGGTGGCCTTCACGTTGGAGACAACCTCGCAAGGTCTCAAACGTTATGTGATTGAGTATGTGCCTGACAATATCCTATGGTCCGAAGGCCGCCTTCCACATGCTATGTCTGCAAGCTGCGATTCTCATGGGAGTTCCGAAATGCCACAAACACGAGTAGGACCGAGTAGGACAAACCTCCTTCCCGAACACAAAATCTTAGGTGCTATAGATTTCCGCTGAGAGATGGTGAGAGTTCTAATCTAATCTCTATCTTCGACAAATTTGTCGCTATGTTTCAGCCATCAGGATTATGTCGCCTCGCTTAGTACACTGGTGCGTCCTAAAAGCCCCTAGAGGCCCCAGTGGAGGCACTGGCTTATGCAGCATGTGTAGAAGCCAGCGCAAGGCTTCCTCGGCTTCATCAGGTGAACAATTGCCACAAGCCGTTCAAAACATGAAGGTCTGACAAACGAACATGTGCCTCACAATGACTCAAGGCGTCAAAAGCCGTACGGCTCTGACAGTGTGCGACAAACTCTGACAAGGCCGGGTTCATCCAAGGCTCTGTCAGCGACAACGACTTGACCGGCATCTGCGTCCGGACGCATAGCTTGTTTGCGGTGCATGCCATGAGGCTGCTAGATCCAAATTTATTTCAGCCAAACTGCGACAGTCACATTACAGGTTTGCCAGGTCTGTTGGACATCTCTGACGAATAAATATATAGTAAGCTCCCCGTAGCCAGGATCTAGGCCAACTTGACTCTGGCAAGGTGGAAAAACCTCTCTTAGTTAGAGATTTCAATCCAAGTGATGCTCCGAGCAATTTTGACACGAATGGTATTTGGAAGGTGCCGCGCAACGGCGGCACACGATACAGTGTAACAGAATAGCACACATTCCAAACATTGACTTTCTCATGTGGCCACTTGGCCGCAAACTCATCATACGCTGAGGTCCACAAAAACGACACATGCCACGACGTGGCAGGCAGCTTCCGCAAGCTGCTTCAGGGCCACAGGCGGCCGCTTCCGGCCCAGTCTCGCCCATTCAGGGAGGCCAAGCAAAAGCGGAGGCTGGTTTTACAGACCAGGTGGCGCACCTGCTTTGCCGCCATTGATTGGCCGATCTTCGTGATTTGCCATTGATGATGGGCCTGCTCGAGCTCCTGGTGGACAACATCACCCACCCTAGTGGGCAGAGATTGGATGGGAGTGCTACACTGCTACACGTTATCATTGGGCAATGATCTGCGAAATCAATCTTCTCAACAAGGGAAACACGAATGCAGCATGCCATCAGCATGCATATGTTTATCAAACTCGGATGAGCTTTGGAGGGGATACCGGGAATTGAACATGCAGGCTGCATCATCACTTAAGACTGCCTCATACAGTGACATTGGTATCGATTCCGGATCGGGATTGCAGCGTCCTTGCCGTTTCTCTTGCTTTTCCTGGCGGAGGCACACAGAATCAGTATGAGACATGCAATGTCACGTCATCTCGGTGACTTCACAGCTCGGCTGTTTCATGCTATGCATATATATAAATATAATACCATCTATTTATCCAGGGGACCCGCCCATGTGTACATTTCCATATTATGTTGGAAAGCTATATATATTAATATATGTAACAAAATGCAATTCACAGGCTACAATGTAGTGAATAGTTGCCATCATCTCGTCCACTGCACCCCGTGTATTGCACTCAAAAAAACAAAAGAACGCACCAAGAAAATGATCAGCGGTGGCCGAGCGTTAGTGGGTCCCGTTCAGTTCTGTGTGACAAGTGCCCTCCATTGCTCAGCGCACCAAGCGTTCGTGAGCTTTCTTGGCCTGAGGAGCTCACCAAGCACTTCTGTGAGTTTTGGCTGTCGTGAACACGGCCCAGAATCTCTTTCAGAGTATCAAGGAACATGAGCTACGGGTTGCTTTGGAACCTCTGCCACCTAAAAGCTTTGTGATTCAGGAACGGCCTTAACGAAGGACATCCAAAATAAATACAAATATATATATATATAATATAAATATATACTTGAAAGAATTGGCTCGGGCAATGGGTGATAGGTGGGTGGATGTATTTCTGGTCGCATTGTCACATGTCCCCTGTCCCAGCGACCCAAGCCAAGCCTTTACAGCTTCATCTGGCATAGCATGCTTGACCTGAGCAAAGGCAACACCTGTGCTGCACATGGAATCCGCCATTGTGGAATGGAATGTCTGACATTGTCTGACCATGTATTTGATGTATTTGAGTGCTTTGCCCTGGAAAAAGCCTAAAAGAATAGCTGAACAGCAGGCCAAGTCATCCGCATTTTAGAATCAGAATGCACTCACTGAAGCTTGGAGCTGGTTTGCTGGGCCAAACCCAAACACCCTGAGCCGCACGCTGCATTAAAAACCTGCTTGCCGCTTGCGTGCGCGCGATGTTGCTGAGAGTGGGCATTGTGTAGCACAAAGCGGGAAAACCAGCACCAAGAAACACACACAATTACAAATTCCGAATCAGCTTCACTGGGACGGATGGAGCTTCAAACCTTACCATCTTTCGATATAGCCTACGAAAGCTGTTCAAAGGAGCAAATGTCCACATACCATGCCTCGAACAGAATTGAACAAAAATTGAACGACATTGGGCGCTGCATAGCAGGTGTGCCCAGTGGCCTTGCGCTTCTCTTGGAAGACTTTCTGACAAATGCCCACATGTCGTGCCAAGGCAGATTGCCTGCAAAAGAAGCTGAGCTCCCTTCCGATGCTGAGAAGACCAGAATGGGGTGTCGAAGCATGGGGGATCAGCACATATTATCAGCCCAAAGGATCTCAATGTCATTGGCATCTAAAACAACAGCACGAAGGGCAAGTAAAAGCAATGTCTCTCTGCTCAAAGTCGCCTCTTGTGGTTGCTTGTGGTTCCCCTACGATGAAGTAAACAGGTCTTAGAAAAACAGCAACCCTGGGTCAACAGCATCAAAATAATGCGAAGATGCAGCCCTGTCTCTGCTGGGCCATGTGTTGTACACCTGGGCCACACCACCAACGCCTGAAGCTTCGCCCGCAATGAGAACAAGGTGCCATGGGTTCCACCGGGCCCTGGCAGGGATCGCCGGCCCGACCGGGCCCTGGTTGTGTCCAAAGGCGTCCAAGCGTACCATTCTCTCTGTCTCTCCCACCCTTCCACCCTTCCTTTCTCCTTCCCTTGCTTCCTTCATCTTCCTTCCCTTGCTTTCTCCCTCCCATCACCTTCAAATTAAACCTGCCCCCGATTTTGTGCAATTTCTTTTGCATGAGAAGTTGTAAGTAGGGCTGAGTAGGGTTTGCTTGATATCGCATTTGTGGCCATGATGAGCCTATGCAATGGAAGGCTTTGCAGGTAGAGGTCGGCGCAAAAGCATTAAACTACTCAGAATGTGAATCTATGTTTTAAAAGCACCTTTATCAAATTTATCAATTGCATTTAACAGCTCCACCTCATCATCAAAGGCCATCGAAGGTTCTTGCAGTACCTGGGCCACAACTGATGCTGATCACGAGAGCCAAAGAAAAGAAAGCAGCGCACATAGCCAACAAGTTGGGGGCCATTGTACTAGGATGTTCCAGGCATACATGCATTAGCAGGCATCCTCTTCAAAAGCAACATGAACGAGCATAAACAAAAACTGTTAAAAAACACAAACAAACAAACAAACAAACCAACCAACAAACACACATAATATACTGTATATATATAAAATTATATAAACAACACATGATACTTTCAAAGGCACGTTTTAGTTATGGTGTTCAAACACTCCCAGCACTAAGTTCGACCGTGTGTGCTTTCCAGAATGAGACCCGTGCATTTGCTGGCGCCCCTGAACGTGCAGGTCCAAATGCCGCAGCTGCCTGTTGGGAGCGCCAAACGAAACAAACTAAACCGAACGCATGAGTTTCACATCCATCACTCCTCATTCTCATTCGAGTTCTTCGCCAACTGTTTGATTGTCATCCTGCTGCCACTCTGAGACTCCTGCAGGAACTGGTGGTGATTGTGCCCGCGAGGCTGCCTAGGACCGTCGTTCGGTCCAGGGAACCATCGGTCTGCTAAACGGCGGGCCTTCTTATTCTTTGTGTTCCCTGCCTAATTGGTGATATCCTTAGAAAATCCATGCAAATAAAGCACAATACTGGCAATGCCACTAAGTCAGAAAGCTACATGGGATTCAATGGTTGTGAATCAGCTGGTCAACCATGATAATTATATCGGTACCCAATACGGTTGGCCCAAACCTACGAGAATTGATTCCGATACTCAGCAGCATGAAATTCCTGCCGTTAATAATCTTGTTCGCTAAATTGGTCACCACAGGCCGTCAAAGGATCACTCCGGGATCGTTGCGTGTTTGCTCAAAACCAGCATCCGCAAGCTCTGTGAGCCGGTGTCAGTCTGTATAGTCAGAAATCGAATGGTGACCTTTAGATTTGAAGACTGTGGAAGTTAAATTCCAAACTATATAGTTGCACATACAGTATTACACAGTTGAAGTTGGTAAACCATAATGGTGAAAGTTGCCTTTGGCGTGTTTGGAGAGAGGAGAGAGGATTTGCGGTCTGACTGTGTCATGTTTCGGAATGTTGTCGGCCCCAGCTTGACAATGTTCACCAACATGCGCACGCAACTCAGGAAAGCACAATCAAACCCTGCCCCCACACCTAAGGACCTAAGGCTAAGTTCCCCCAACTGCGGGCACTGGCGGTGACTGAGCACGGGAGGATGAAGCAACTGCCTGAGAACTATGATCCAACAGTGACCAACATGCTCGACAATAGATCCTTTTGGCTATTGGCTGTAACGCACTACCGATCTTTAAGGGCTTTCTTTCCATCTTAGTTATGCGTGGTGGTGATGGATGTTAAATCCCTGGTCAAATGAACCAAGCAAAATGAACCAAGGCAATAACTCCATTGTTTTGTGTTTTTCTCTCTATCTCTCTCTATCTATTGTTTTCTCTTTCTGGACGGTAAGGATCATGAATAGCATAGCTCTACTAGGCCACGCGCAGTCAGGCACCCACGAATCTCTTCAGGGAGAGTTGTTGACAAGCGACGGCAAAGGTGTTCGTTGTTTGGGTCTCTTCAAGAAGGCCTTCTTCAAAGGGGACCTGATTAAAGGAGTCCAAAAACCTTTTTGTTTCTATCTTGACGTCAACTACTAGTAACCCCGCCTGGAAGTGCCTACACCAAAACCATACCTGTTCTCAAACTAAGGTCCTGACAGGAACCGGTGGTGACGATGGTGGAGGTGGCGCGCGGGGCGGCGCGGCCTCCTTATACCCAACAATATGTGTGCGAGTGTGTACATGCATGTCTTGCTGCTATGGAATGCTATTGGGTTCAAAGGGCGCACACACACACACACACAAAAAAAAAGAAGTGCAATGGCCTTCAAGTGGGCCCTGTGGAATAGTTTTTTCTTTTCGATTCAACTCTCAAAGTCCTTTCTCTCTCCCATGCCCACATAGAACCTCATGTTGCCCTTTCCAGCTCGGACTGGCAAGGCTTTGCCTTGGCATGTGCAACATGTTCACACTGTCTCAATCTCCTCCTCCTCCTCATCATCATCACAAAAATCGTCTTCATTGTCCTGGACTTCCTGACCACTACCAGGCACCAGGAGAGAGAAATAA